GTTATACAAATACAAAATTATTTTACATAGCAAAATCAGGTGCTATGCTAAATAACATTTTAATGTCGTGACATTAAACATCTGTAGACAAACAGTACCTAAGCCATACAGTTCAATTTTCCTTTGAGGTTTATCTATTTTTACTTACATTTGCTGTATGTCAGCTTATAATAATTACTCTTCTACAGACATCTCTAGCACTAATGTGACAGACTATGAATTCTTCTTGACAATAGAGCATAATATGCTCCTTACAGGTTTCCACCAGTAAGGTTACAATCTTACCATCACATGTATAAACATGTTAAAAGCTTTACTTAAAACATCGACAAATTTCAAATATATTGAGTTACTGTTTAAAATCACCTACAGATGATACTTTTCTCAATAAATCTAAAAAGTAAAGCTAGATGTAAAAAACTTTGGGTACAATGTGTCACATCAGTATCTGAGAGCTGCCTGAACTTTAAAGTATCTGTAAATTGTGTCAGGTCATTTGAAAAGTAGCAAAAATTTCCATTTAAGAGCTCCTTCCAATAAATGTTGCTTACAAAGACAGAATACCAATAAAAAACATTTCCTAGTCTTTTTGTGAGTATGACAAACTATGTCATCTGTGAGACAGGACTAGGCTGGAATTACTGTAGTGATTCCAGTTAAGCAGCAGGAATGTTTGTATTTCTCCATCTGACATTAAAAGTGGCATGTTTTCTGTAGGCCTCGTTTTTAAACCTCCACAAATTTAGTCTAAGACATTAGAGTTTTATTTTAAGAAAGAACAAACACATTATGATCTACACAGCTTTATTTCTCTGTGAGAGAAAAAACAAGAAAGAAAATGACTGAAAAGTCAGTAAATACAGACTTTAACTTAATTGGGACGACTTTAAAGTAAGTTAAAATACATAACATGACAAAGTTGCTATCCTGGAAGTTGTACTGTCTGATACATCTCAGTGACCCTTAGCTCACACTCCCAAATCCTTACATCCTTTTATTACTCAGTTTTGTGTGATCTTAGACATAAATTATTCAAATTTTCCCTGTGATTTCTTTTCATTTGACAAGAAATTATAACATCTAAATTCAAATGAATTTCTTAGAGTCTTGATCTCATATATATTTTCATAAAATAAGGGGGTGATGGAATTTTTATAATATGTAAGATTTTCCTGAATTGTTAGAAATCAGAGGAACTATGATGTTTTAAACAGTGGTACTTCTCTGGTTGCCTCTATTCCTGAGTGCTTAAATCAGGAACCAAATAGATGAAAGTGTGTAATTAAAATGTGAAAGTTCTATATTTTCCCCCTTTTTTACAGCCTAAGAATACAGGCTCTTTTCATGTATGAAGGGAAAATCAGAAGACTTTAAGTTTTGACAAATAGTAGCTAAAAGTAACTTGAATAAAGCTAGGTAAATAAAATAAATCAAAAGGTAAATTATAAAGTCCTACTTCTTTGTTAATAAATTAATCTCTTTTGCTACCTAGTAGTAAAAATGGTTTTTAGGTTAAACAGAACAAAAAATACTAAATACCTAGTAAAAAAATGTATTAAGCTACTATAGGTTTAATATTTACTGAAATAAATCAAGTGCTTTCACATATTTAAATAAAAGGCTAATTTCCTGAACTGTTAATCAGAACTATTTGTAAGCAAAAAGAGCATGTTTTATTGAATAGTCCTTGTCTCTAGCCAAACAATACATTTATTGATATTAATACATACAAAAAAATTCTGAAAGTAAATATTATTTTTTAATATATGATAAGTACTGCACTTTCAGCAGATATGAGGACTGTCTACAGTAATCATACCAATTATATAATCTACATAATCACCTGGTTCAAGGCAGTATTTTATTTATTGTATTGCACTTTGTCCCCTGTGATTATGAGAGAAATTTTCCTGGGCTTTCTGGGGTATCCTTTCTTTTGATTCTGTGATCATGTCAATGACTGATATATGAATACCATGTTTTGTCTTAAGGTATCAATCTAGCAAGAAACAAATTTTGTAGAAAATAGTTACTTATTTTTTACTGGTTTTATGCAGCTAAAACATTTTATTCCAATTTCTGTTTTCCAGATCTGAAAAGTTCTACAGGAATTCCATTACTGTGTGGAGGAAACTCCAGGAATTCACTAATGATTTTGTAGAGAATTGATGTTAGAATATCATATTATATTACTGTCTCTTAACTTTGTGAAGGAGCAATACACAAACAAAAAAATGCTAATCTGAGACTTTTCAGAAATACTTATGCCAGTCCTTAAATTCTTCTGGACACACTAAGTGATTTCCCTTCATTTAGAACAGTTGCATTATTTTGTTTTGACTTACAATGTGCAAGCTGCAAAAATTACTAACCTGCATGGGCTGAGGTAGTTTGTTTCCCTGATTCATTAATAAACAAGTATTAATGCATTTCCTTAATAATTCCTTTATTCAATATACAGCTTAGATTTCTCCTGGAAATTTTAATGAACAGGGCTTTAAAATGTATATATGTATTCTGCAAAAGTAGTAAAATCTGATATAAATCTGATAGTCTGAATCCATTTCATGGAGAGAAAAAGAGAGAAAGAAAAAAAGTCAGACTGAGGAGATGTGTAGAGGAACTGATAATACAAATTTTGTAATGAAAATTATGATGAAACCTACATGTACTACGTAATCTTGCAATGAATCTTTGCCAGTTATTTTGCCTTTAAAGCTAGATATTAATTTATAGATTTCAATACACTATAAATGATAAGGAGATGTTGAGGAGGAAATTTCTGTTATGTGAGATCATACCCTATGTGTATATTTCTAACATTTTTTGGTGACTATCATTTTTTATAGCCTTTGATCTCTTTACCTTTGTAATTCTGCAGCCCAGAGCTCTGTCCTTTCCTCCATGTTATGGTTTTTCTCCTCTTCCATTTTTTCCTGCCTCTCCTTGGGTATCATGTCTATGTTTGGCAACCATACCAAAAAAGAGGGAAGGCTTATATTGTCAGCCCCTCTGCTTGTCACCATCCCTTTCTTGTTTCTGGCAAAATAAAAATGACCAGGACTTCTATCAGCCAGAACTCTGAAGCTTGGAGTTTGTCAATTCAGTGGTGTTAATCGTTATGCCAAAGTATTAGGTCAGTGGTAGTACTTCAGATCACACTCCAAAGCTCTCAGAGTTCATTCTCCACAATGTCATGAGGCCTAATATTGTACATAGGGAGTTAGAATTAAGAGTCTGATCCTGCAAGTGGTATGATTTTTTCCTTTTCACTTTAACTTGGGCACTATTAAAACCTAGGTTTACAAACACGTGTTTTTCAACACAGTGACCAGACAACCCACAGTGCCAGAAAACTGGAGGCAGAATCACTTGATAGCCGTGCTCTACGAAGTGGGTGGCTGTGTTTGCATAAAAGATTAATTAATATCACAGAAATATTAATATAAAAAAGTGAAAAAGAAAAAAGTGGAGTGATGATGTCAAATGTAGCATGATTCAAATAAACATAAAATGTGATGTGGTGAGATGTGATAAAAGTCTAATCGTACTGCTCTTACTGCAGCAAAGCTTGAACCGACCTCCAAAGCCGGACTGAGCTCTTAGATGACTGATTGTAATTAGTGAGAGTGATGGATACAAAATTCAAAACAGCTTTTTTATTAAATCAGCTGCCAGTCAATTACTATGAATAGCCCAGATGAAATTAAATGTGTTTGTTCTTTTTGACATTATATATACATTATTTTGAAATCATGAATCTGGAGAGGCCTCTAGCTTTTCATCATATTTTTTTAGGCTGAACAGCTTTCAACATTGGACTTGGATTTAAGAAATGTTCAGCAGAAATATTTGCTCAATAAAGAAGGTCAATGCAGTACCATTCTTGTCCATTCAGAACAGATACGCACAAAGAAAAAGTGAGATCTAAAACATTTTGCATACTTGAACTCCAAAGTTTGCATGCATCGTGATTCATGTGATATAGAAAGGCCTTTACTTTTGTTTTATTCCATCAGTCCTAATTTGGTCCTTAGTTGAGATATAACCATGCAACATTTCATCATTTACTTGTAAATTATTAACTTTAGTATTTTTTAAGGACTATGGCAAAGTTTCAGTATGTAAAGAATAAAATAGTAACACAAGAGGTTAATGCCTCACATGAGGAATTTATTAGATGTTTTTGGATAGCAGTTGTACGCTTTTACTAAATCACTAGCGAAGGCTGTATTATGGGTCACAATTCTTTGTATGTCAAAACATGCAAAGCCTTTACTAAAATATGACAACAGTCTTGGTTAGAAAATTAATTTTATTGTAAGCTCACATTTCAGCTGGCCATAACCATAGGTAAAAAACATGCAGTTTGAAATGAAGATCTATAACCATGGGGGGGTGTTGGAATATCTGGTGATACACAGAGACATTTCAGAAGAAAAATAACATTCTTCACTGAGAGAGTGGTTAAGCACAGAAACAGGCTCCTGAGGGAAGTGATAGAGTCATCATCCCTGAAAATGTCAAAAAACCCCGAGTAGATTGTGGCACTTTGTGATATGGTGGAGAGGCCATGGTGGTCTTCAGCTCTTCCAACCTCAATGACTCTATGATTCCATACAGAGAAAGGGCTAAGACTCTGTCCCTGACATTTTGAGTTAGCAGGCAGCGCGCCTTTAAACTCGCGGGCTGTAAAGTTCCACACCAACAGAGGTGTATTTAGATACAAGGGATCGGGGATAGTTAAGAGATTTCGTGAGAATCGAGCCCTTTTAAGAGTCACGTAAGAGCTAACTACACCCCAAAACCCGCCCGCGCGGCGCATCTTGCACGGCACAGCATCCCCTCCCGCCCCACACCCGCTCGCGGTGGGCGGGACTGCGCAGGTGGGCGGGGGGGGCTCTGCCCTTCCCGCGGGGGCTCCGCGGCCGCGCACCGGCCCCGCCCCCGCCCCGCCCCGGCCCCCGCCCCCGCGATCAGCTGCGCGCGCGTCACGTGGGCGCGTGTCGAAGGTCACGGCGCCCACAATGGAGCTGTCGCCGTACGCGCAGGGCGGGTGGCGCCTGCTGGGCGACCCCCGCCGCTTCCCCCGCCGCCCCTTCGCCGCGCTGCTCCGCGCCGCCTTCCGCAGCCTCCTCGACGACCCTCAGGCCGCGCTGGGTAAGGGCGAGGCGCGGGGGAGGTGCGGGCCGGGCCGGGCCGCGCCGCGCCGCTCCGCGGGACGCGCAGAGGGGGCGCCGCGCCCCGCCCGCCCCCCGCGTATGGACACGCGTGTCCCCGCGGGGCCGGGCGGCTGTTCCCGCGCGTCCTCGCCCGCGGACGGCTCCAGGGTGCCGCTGCGCGGGGTGTCACCGCTAATGCGCGACTGCTTCATCAGAGCGCCGACCCGTCAAGAGCAGAGGGGGGGCCCGGGCGGGTCGCCCCGCGCGTTCGTGTCCGCGGGAGGGGGGCAGAGCGGCGGTGTTTCCCCGCTGTCACCGTGTGGGGTTTTTTTCGCGTGTGGACACGTCCTGCGGCAACCCTGGCGTGAGGGTGTTACGGCCGTGCAATTAATTTTGCGGTGTTAATGACGGGCGGAGGGAGCCGGCGGGTGGCCCCGGTGTCCGGCCCGGCCGGGGGCTCCAGCTCCGCTCCTCGCCGTTAGCAGGCTGCTGGGACCGCGGACGGGGCTTGGAGAGGAAATTGAGGTTCTCCTTATTTCTTTTTCTTTTTTTTTTTCCCCTCCCCTTTTTTTTTTTTTTTTAATGGGAAGGAGATGCAGAGGCGGCGGGGCGCGCAGCGCCGCACAGCCCCGCCTGGTACGGCTCGCCCCAGCCAATGCTTCAGCCCCTCACCTCCTCCTCCACCTCCTCACACCTTGCCTACTTGCTCCGTCCTGTCGCTCTGAAACACCAAATGTGTTTCATTTTGAAGTTTTTGTGGGAAAGATAGCCTTCAAAGGGCGAGCAGCAGCCCTTGGTACCGTGTGCTGGTGTTTGGCAAGTACGTGTGTCATCAGTAATTCATTTATTTTAGACGATCCAGACCTGAAAGATATTGACCCTACAATATTAAAACATTGCCATGCTGCGGCTGCAACGTGTATTCTGGAGGCAGGGAAGCAGAAAGCTGACATATCTGCTATAAGGTACTCATAGTTGGAAGCTTCACCAGTTTTCTAGCGGTTGTTACTTAAAAGTGTACTGCTGAGTTAATGGTAACAGAAAACTAATAAATTTTTTTTTCTCTGTAGCACATGTCTAGAAGACTGTAAACTGGATAAAGAGAGAATAGAACAATTTTGCACCGAATATCAGGTTTTTTAAAAAAAATTTAACATATTAATTTTTTTTCCTATCATAGGAATTTATTGAACATAGTAAACTTTCTTTTTTCCCTTCTTCCCCAGAAAAACAAGGATGCATTGGAAGTCCTATTGGGAAGGTAGGTCAATCAGTCAGCAGAGACATAATTTCACTTACAGTTACTTTGAAATTGTTCTGGAAAAGACTTTTGCATAGTTTAGGTAATTTAAGTAAGAAATATTGTTCCATTTAAAAAGTATGTTTTTAACAAACTCTAGAAAACAGCTGTAGAAACTTTTCTTCATTTGGAATTCTACTCTAAAAAAACCTTTTTGAGTTTTTCAAGAAGTATTATAAGGATCATGAAGAAGTTCTTTATTGATGGACAGCTTCAGAAAATGACCTTTTCTTTTAGTGTAGGAAACTTGTAACTGTTGTGTCTTTCAGCATAGGCAGATCTCCTCTCCATATAACTGATGTGTCTTGGCGCTTGGAATACCAGATCAAGGTAATTTTAATACACTAAGATGTTTCTTTAGTCTGTCTTAGTGCTAAGACTTGACTATTTTATGTGTTCTTTGTTTTTTAATTTAGAACAATCAACTTCATAAAACTTATCAGCCTTCCTACTTGGTGACCTTAAACCTAGAGGTACTGTACTCCCAGCACCCTGAAAGGAAAAAAAATGCAATTTCGTGATTCTTTTAAATAAAATATACACTGTTGTTTGTTTGTTTGTTTCCCTTCAGAACAGTGATTCAGGATCACACCCAGATGTTAGTTTTAGTTGTACGATGGAGCAATTACAGGTACTTGTTTCCTTCATCATTCTGTGCTTAGCTCCAGTTATGGATGTAAATGTTTTTAACAACTCAACAATCAAAATTAAATCATATATACTATTATTTTTCAAAAAATAATAAATCTGTACTGGGAGGATACAAGAGAATCTTCCATAGAAATTATCTGAGTGTATTTTTACTGTCTTTTCAAATAAAGTTGCAAAGTAACTGATTTTAGTTGCGTGGGGAGTGTTTTAGAACGTGCATAAATATTTTGTCTGTTTTCATAACTGTAATCTATATATGTATTTGGGAGGAAATTCATCATTTTCTGAAGCTCTGATTTCCCATGCTTTAGAGAAGTTATTTAAATACGTCATGATTAAAAATAGAGAGCAAACTGAAGGCTCTTCAGTGGTGTTAATGACATGTAAGAAATGTACTGAAACAAACGTTGATCTTTGTTTAGCGATTTAAATGTGTAACTGAACAATAGAGGTATTGTAATGCTTGGAAGTGGCCAAACTGTGGAGGATCGGGAAGAGGGGTTGTGGAGAGAGGAAAAGCAAGATATTAAAACTTTAGGTTTTAAATGTGTGTCTTGAAAGTTGTCCTTTTCTCACTAATGAGTGTTTCTAGTCAGTTTGCTGACGTTGCAAAATCTGATGTGTTTGGCTAAGAGAATGGTCCTGGTAGAAAATTGCACTCAAAATATTTTCAGTGTTTTAGAAATGCATGTAGTACTTCAAAGCCTGGAGCGGATGTCAGTGTTAGCCATCGTGGCAATACTGATAAAATCTACATATTAATAGTAGCAACCCGGTTTAGGAGCAAAATACATTTAAAAAAGTGTTTTCCTTCAGTTCCCGCTTTTCTGACTACACAGTAAAATACAGAGCTGTTTAATTACTCGCTGGCATTGTTCATCAGTTGCAACATTTCTTTGTGCTTATAAGGTGCTGGTTTCCCTTGCCTCTCTGTATAAAAAAGATACTCTGTTCCTCTAGCTGACCTTTTAAAAAATATGTTTATTCTAAGACACTATTTCATCTCTTAGGATTTAGTTGGAAAACTAAAAGATGCTGCAAAAAGTCTAGAAAGAGCAACTCAGATGTGATTGAAGGAAGGTGTCAGCCTGCTGAGCTGAAGTACTCTCATTCCTAAGAGTGTCTTCTAAATGACAAATGTCTTTCATCTCTTGATGCAAACTGTTCTTTTTTTTTTTTTTTTTTTAACTCCTTGGATGTGAATTAAACAACTTTTTTACATTCGCATTTGGTATTCCTTGCTCGTGTAATTTTTTTTTAATTAACTCTTGTTAAATATTTGCTTAACTGTCGTGTCATCGAAGCATTCCTTCTATCTTATTTTGTATATTTTTACGTTTCTTGCTGCTTATTTTTCTCTGTGATCTAATAAAAGTTTATTCGCGTCTGTTCTGCAATTCAATGGGTGAATTTAGCTGTACCTAAAAGTAAGATGCTAAACGTTAGATCAGCTCAGTGAGGCGAAAGTCCCTTCCTCCCGTGCCGCGGTTGCGGCGCGTTTGCTTAAATCGCCCGCCGCGCTTTGTCATTTCACTCCAGCCGATCTTACATCTCCCCTACGAGTAAAGGTTGGACCCCGGCGCGGGTGGCAAGAAAGGATTCTGTTTAATCATATGGACTCGGGGCGCCTCGAGAAAAGGCGAGGGTCCGCGGCACGGAGCGGAGCCGGGTGGCGGGTCCGGCTCGACGGCAGGGCTGCTCCGCGGCTCTCTCGGCCGCCTTGGGCCGCTCCCGGCACCGGTGGTCTCCGCGGCGCGGTCCGTCCGCACCTGCCGGCGAGAAAGAGCGACCCCGCGGAGGATGCGCGGCGGCCGCCGGTCCTTTACTGCGGAGCCAGAATTTTTCCTCTCGGCTCCTCCACGCCCGAGCTGCGGGAGGCGTCTTGTCCTCGCAGGCGGCGAGAGACCGCGAGGGTTTCCCCGCTTCCCTCCCTCCCAGCTGGCCCATGTTCCCCCCGCGGGGTGCGGGGACACCGCGGGTCCCCGCGACACCCGCTCCCGCCGCCTCTCGGGGCGGAAAAGCGGCCGCGCAGCCCCCGAGGGGACGCGCCGCCTCGACGGCGGCGGCTCCGCGCGGCCGCGGGCGGGCGAGGGGCGCTCGGCAGCGCGCACGCGGGGGCGGGGGCGCGAGGCCGCCCTGCGCGTCCCCCCGGGGGTCGCTCCGCGGCGGGACGGGGCGTGCGGGGCGGCCGCGGGTGGGAGCGCGCAACAAGTGCGGGGAGGGAGGCGAGGGCTGCGGAGGCAGCCGACGGGAGGCGTGTGGGGCCGGCGGGTGTGCGGGCAGGGGGGAAGGGGCGCGGGCAGGATGGAGAGGGCAACGCCGGGCGGGGTCCTTGAGAACGGGAGGGAGTCGGGTCGGGGGCGCGGGGGCGACGAGGGCGCGGGGAGAGAGTGGGGATGGAGGGGATGAAGGGGAGCCGAGGCGCGGGCGGAGGGGGCGCGGGGAAAGAGGGAGGAGGCATCGAGGCTGCGGCGGGCGGGGGAGGCGGGCGAGAGCCGCGGAGCGGGCCGGGGGTCGGGGCGGGCGGTGAGGAAAAGGAGGAAAAGGAGGCATCGGCGGCGCGCGGGCGAGCGCGTGCAGGGCCGGGGGAGGGGAGGGAGGGAAGGAGAAGGGAGGAGGGAGAGAGGGAGGGAGGGGGTGGCAGGCGGGGAGGAGGAGGGAGGGAGCGAGGAAGGGGGAGGCGGAGGGGGAGGAGGCGGCCGGGTTGCGGGATTGGGTCACGGGGAGGCTGCCGGGCCCCGGCGGCAGCGCCGCTAATTCCCAGGCCGCCCTTAAGGAATGAGGCGCCCCACGTGACGCTGGCGGGGCGGGCGAACTCCGAGCCATTTTGGGGACGGTGTCAGTTTCCACTGTGTGCCTTCAGCGTTGCATTCTTCCCTCCTCCGCCCTCCTCCCGCCCGCCCGCCCGCCCGCCCTCCTTCCCTCCCCGGGTCCCCGCCACCAACTATGAAATAACAACAACAATAATACTCGTAATAATAACAATAATAATAAAAGAAGGAACGCGAGCGAGGCCGCGAGGCGGAGCGGGGGGCAGAGGGAGAGACAATGGGCTGGTGGAGAGAGGACCCATCCGGACCGGGGAGACTGTGCGCTCCCAGCGCCTGAGCCGCCCGGGCGGCCAACTCGGAGGGAGCGAGAGAGCGAGGGAGCGAGCGAGAAGGGCCCGCGAGGAGCGGCGGAGACCCGGGCGTTCTGTAACTAAAATGAGCGGAGCGCAGCGGCGGCGGCGGCAATAAGCTTATTGCAATTGACAGCGTCTGCAGTTCATTTCAAGATGGCCGCTTGGCTCACATTCATTTTCTGCTGAACGACTTTTAACTTTCATTGTCTTTTTTGGCCGCTCCGATCATCACCCACCGGCTCCGTTTTCCGGGTACGTATGAAGCGAGGTGTCGCCTTACCAAGGGCGGGGGGCGAAGGGGGCTCGGCGGCGGTTTTCGGCCGGTTTGGGGGCTGCAAAGGGGCGCCTAGGTGTCCCCCGAGCTCTCCGTATGGGAAAAGCGCTGACAGGCTGCTCCAGCCACACACACACATACAGACACGCAGCAGCAGCAGCAGCAGCCTGTGCACTCGCTCGCGTTACGCACCCACATTTGCAAATTTTAGTTCCTTTCTTTCTCCAGACGCCCCCTAAAACCTTTCTGTGCACATGGCCCCCGAGGAGAATATTTATATTTCCCGACCCTGCTGCCAGCCCGGCCCGGGCGCCCTTTGTTTAAAGGCAGATTTTGATTAAACAGGGACGTTCGTGAAATCTGGAGCTGCCTGGGTCAAGTGATTTCAGTCCTCCCCGAAAGAAATGTGTCTGGGGGAGGTTAAAATGTCAGATAACGCACCCATTTTATAGAGACGGAGCCAGCGGGGGGTAGCGATCCTCCTGGGGGGGTTGTTAGGCGCCGGGGTACCCAGCAGAAAATGTTATTAACTTAAGTTGGACAAGTACTTGTGTGAAATTGGATGGGTTGTAAGATGGCGGTTCCCAGTTGTTTCCAATGTCTCCTCTTACATTTCTGCTCTAAATGCTAAACTTTAGGGGTTTTTGCCTACTGGGAGAGGCAAGGGGTGACCAACGCCGAGAAATAACTTTTTTGGGGGGCGAGGATAGCAGTTTGCCTGCGATCTTGGGGAGCTGGGGCATGCGGTTTGCTAGAGCCTTTGGAGCAAAGGTGATGTGTCTGCGGGACGCGGAGGGGGGGTGGTGTGTGTGAATTTCTTTTCCCTGGTTGGTATTTTTTTTTTTCTCCTGAGCCCGGGAAGGGTAAATTTACATGAAATCCTTTGTTAGATCTTAGAGATGTCGCGAGTGGGCTCCTCGTGCTGCTTATGGGCAGCACTTGAAAGTTGCTGGTGTTCTGTTTTTATAATTGAATGGCCTTGGCAATATATAACGCGGGATGTTTATCTGTGTTTGCTGTAAACATTTGCAAATAATCAGGTAAAAATAAACAGAAAAAAAATCGCATTTCTGTAAAAGTGAGATAGTAACTTTTCAACCTCTATAAAGTTTGATTCACTCCCCCAGTCTCCAGAAAAGTCGAAGAAAACCTGGGCGTGTGTGCCCATTTGCAAGCTTGGCGCTAGAAGGATTTTTTTTCTTTTTGCGTAGTCTGTAGTGGTCGGAGCTGCTTCTTTTATGGGACTGTCCCTAAAACCAGGGACATCCTGGAAATACAGTCCAGTAAAACTACTTTGAGTTACTCTGAGCAGCCCGTCCTGGAAACTAAGACAGACTTGTATTGCAGTTTCCCAGAGACACGAAGTCTTGACCTACCTGGTCTCTTAGATATCACAAAATTAGCATTTTAGTGTATTTTTTAAGTAGACCTGTTATGTCCTATGCCTAGTCCCAGGGAGGTGATTTTGAAGAACTAGAGTCCTTCTGCACTCTGTTGCCAATATCCAGGTCTTTCCTCGGTGCAGCAAGTTGGGCAGAGATATTTGAGCTTCGTGTGCCTTCTCTGAAAGAAGCACCGTCCTGTCCTTTAAAACGTTTGCGGCCATTCTTAAGTGAAAGAGTAATAACAGGCTCGATAGTACAAGTGGCTCTGGCTGATAATGAGTGAAGATGTAGAATGACGGCTGCTTTATTCCTGATGAGAGAGTTTTCCGAGAGGAGATGGGTGCAAAGTACACAAACCTATGGGAGCGATGCTTCTATTTTTTATGTATGTATTTTCTGTTAGAGACCTGTCGAGCAAGGTTTGATAGCTTATTGCCTTTATAGATTTTTAATAATGTAGCTGGTTCTTAGCAGGAGAATGTACTTCTGTTTTTCTTCATTTTGACATAACATGTTTAAGGCCTCTAAATAATCGGTTGGCTGGCAGTGTTTACTTCTAGTGAGTATTATATACGTATATTTTACGTTTAGTTGTTCCATGTGTCAATGTGTAAATATATATTGTCCTGGGTAAGAGGCTGTTTGTATTTGTGTGAAGTATTGGCATTCACCGTGCGATCAGCAGGAGCAGAAAAAAAATCTGAAAGTGTTTCCCTCGTACCAAAATGTTAAGCTCAGGCTGCTGTAGTAAAATGTGCTGTGTTCGTGTTACAACCCCGCAGGCACAGACACGCGTGTGCCTGTGCCTGTGCGGGTGGCTTTTGGGGAGAAATTAGGCGCCTTATTCAGTTCGCTGGAGAAAATCACTGATTTTCAAGATAGCTCATAGTACGTTGAAAATGTGCTAACTTTGGGCAATAAATAATCCGCGTTTAGGAGTTGCTTCGACAAAACAGGTTTCACGGTTGAATTTAATCCCCCTCCATTTAGGAAGGGGCTACGCCTGCGTGAAATAAACGCGTTAATGTCTTGAAAGGTTTGTCCCAGTCTGTCAGGGCTGGGAAGGAATTCTTGGTCAGCCGACTTGCATGACCTCGGTCACTGCTGTTTTTTTTAGTTCAGATATTTATGAATTATAAGGTAGTGACTTGAACAAATAAAACACAGAACCGTGAAAGCAGCCTGTCCATGTGTAAGTACCTAAAGGGACCTCAGAGC